CTCTGACAAAAATGTCAAGATTCCATCGGAGAAACATTACTATTTCACCCCGGATTGGTGGCTGCAGCTTGCATCCCTATTTTAAGCTCTTTTAATGGGTTGTCTTTGCAAACTTGTGAGTCGTCTAGTTCCCAAACCTATGGCGATTCTACTACTTTGGTCGAACTGAGGGATCCACATGCAAACTGTGGCAGGCAACTCTGGGATCAATTTTCTTCATGTCCTCATGACTCTGACAAAAATGTCAAGATTCCATCGGAGAAACATTACTATTTCACCCCGGATTGGTGGCTGCAGCTTGCATCCCTATTTTAAGCTCTTTTAATGGGTTGTCTTTGCAAACTTGTGAGTCGTCTAGTTCCCAAACCTGTATGCTATCCAGTTTTTCTACAGGTTCTCCTTCTTCAACCTTTGTATGTAGATCCAACGAGTCGCGATTGGATTCAAATATACAAGTCATGTACATTCCCAGAGAAGAGCGTTGACGGCTGGGGTTAATGTTCATCTGACATCCTTCAGCAAGTTTCCCATTTCCTCTAAAGTTGAATATAAGGGGTTGCCCCATGATGGCATCGTAGTGTGACGCGGAGTCGAACACTACAAACTCAGTGTTTAGCCTAACCTGTCGAACCCTAGCTCCTACTGTGAGCTCAATTGATCCCCTTACCGAAGTTAGGGCTCCGTTTAGTTTGAGAACCATTTTTGGGTATGATCATAAGAAGTGGATAGGTACACCCATCCATTTGAGTGTTTAGTGAAGCACACGTTGAGGGCGCTTTTCGTGTCAACCAAGACCTTAGGGATGATAACTCTGGCCACATATATTAAAACCACCAGAACTCCATGATATGGGTGTAGATCTACTTCGTTCTCGATGAAAGTTAGGTGGTCATCTGTTGGTGTTCTACGGTGTTTCTCTATTATGCCGATCTCAGAGAGGTTGACGACGATATGTCTTTTCAATCTCGCTTCCCTTGTTCTTGCATTCTGTGCATGGTTCTTGCATTTTGTGCATCTATCAACATGTAGATGTAAGGTCTAGGTAGGTCAACATTGTATGCTCTGGCTTCAGCCTAATCTCTCGTATGACCACGATTCAATGGGGGTAGGAAATTTCACACAATAATGGTAGATTGACGTGGCCGCTTTGAGTTCGTGCATTATGGGTCTTCCCAGTATGGCATTGTAATTGGATGGCAAATTAACAATTACAAAGTCGGCTAAGATTTTCCTTTGGCAAGGAACCTCTCCTAATTTTACGACGAGGACGATATGACCTCGGGCTTCAATGGGGTCTCAGGAGAATTCTTGTAATCTTCTAGGATAGGGCTGGAGTAATCATTCCAAGATCTCTAGTTGCCTCAGGATCTGAGAATACAGTGTGTTGACTGAACTCCCATTATCCACGAGTGTTCTATGTACCTTTACTCCAGCGATGGGTATAGTTATAACTAGGGCATCGCCTTCATCTTGCAGGATCCCTTGAGAATCATCTTCTGAGAACTAGAACCATTCAGGGTTCATCGATGCGTTGAGGCTTGG